TTTTTTGTTGGTGGCTTTTTTCTGTTTGCGGGTTCAAGGAGAAGCCCTGCCAGTGGTATCAGCTGTCGCGTTGTCTCGTCAGTGTCTCTCTGCGGCTCTGCACCTCGACGTGGAGGTGCCCACAACGCTTGTTGGGAGGCCGTTTGCATTGTGACCTGAGCGAGCATCGACCTTGGCGGCGCCGGTCTTTTCTTCCAAGTCAAAAGCAGAAGGAAGCACACTGGTCAGCCAGAGGACGTCTGACGTTGCTTTAACCCCGAGCACCAGGTGAGCCGTGCAACTGCCTTGTGCCGTGCGCACGCCGAGCCGCCCTTGACCGTGTATTCGCCTTTGCGCTCATCAAGTCGTGCATTACTGAACCTCGCGGCGGACGACAGTCATCATGGCCAAAGGCAAGGACTATTTGGGCAGCGACCAGCGTCGTGTCGTTGACGACAAGGCCGAGACGGAGGACATTCAAGGTTGGTTGATGAGTGATGAGATGGCTTTTGGTTCGGGTGGCTGCCCTCGGTCCACAGGTACCATATGCTCACGAGAGCCGCCGACTCACGCGCCATTTGCCCCGCCCTGGTGTCCGTCTGCTTTTTCCGTCAGCCCTCGATGCTGGTGACATTGCCATGCTCAAAACCTATGGTGTGGGCCCTTACACCAACGCCATTAAAGACGCGGAGAAGGACGTGAACACTCGCCTCAAGAAGATCAAGGAAATGACCGGTATCAAGGAGTCAGACACGGGCTTGGCCCACCCCAGTTTGTGGGATCTGGCCGCAGATAAGCAGATGATGAGCGAGGAGCACCCCCTCCAAGTGGCCCGCTGCACCAAAATCATGGCCGGTGACACGGAGGATGAGAACAAATACCTCATCCACATCAAGCAGATTGCCAAGTTTGTGGTGGCTCTCCACGAGAAGGTTGCCCCGACTGACATTGAAGAGGGCATGCGCGTGGGCGTCGACCGCACCAAGTACCAGATCCACATTCCCCTGCCCCCCAAGATTGACGCCAGCGTTACCATGATGCAGGTAGAAGACAAGCCCGACGTGACCTACGCTGATGTTGGCGGCTGCAAAGAGCAGATCCAAAAGCTGCGCGAAGTCGTTGAACTGCCCCTCCTCCACCCGGAGCGCTTTGTGGATCTGGGCATCGACCCGCCCAAGGGCATCCTCCTCTACGGCCCACCCGGTACCGGCAAGACCCTGTGCGCTCGTGCCGTCGCCAATCGTACCGATGCTGCCTTTATTCGTGTCATTGGTTCGGAACTGGTCCAGAAATACGTCGGCGAGGTGTGTCAGACCTTCGCCCTGTCTTTGCAGGCGTACACCTTGTGACCTGTTGCGCCGCCACCTAACCGCTCGGCCCCTGTTGCTCTCTTCACCTGCTTTCGAAACTCGACACTAGGGCGCTCGCATGGTCCGCGAAATCTTTGAACTGGCACGCACAAAGAAGGCGGCCATCATCTTCTTTGATGAGGTTGATGCTATTGGCGGGGCTCGTGTCGATGACGGCGCCGGTGGTGACAACGAGGTGCAACGAACCATGCTTGAGCTCATCACCCAGCTTGACGGCTTTGATGCTCGTGGCAACATCAAGGTGCTAATGGCTACCAACCGGTACGGTCTTGTCTTTGATTACAACCTTGCAACCCACCATTTCTACGTGGATGCCACAGGAGGCCGCGTCTCGTTCAAAGCCGTCCGCCGACTGTCTTGTGAGCGCTGACATCTCATTCCTTGTGCTCCTTCGCCCACGTTCAACAGACCGGACACTCTGGACCCGGCACTCCTACGTCCGGGTCGTCTGGATCGCAAGGTTGAGTTTAGCCCACCTGACATTGAGGGCTGCGCCAACATCTTCCGCATCCACACCAAGTCAATGTCCGTGGAACGCGGCATTCGCTACGAACTCCTTGCACGCCTCTGTCCCAACTGCACGGGTGCCGAGGTTCGCTCCGTCTGCACCGAGGCCGGCATGTACGCCATTCGTGCCCGGCGCAAGGTGGCCACCGAGAAGGACTTTATCGATGCCATCAACAAGGTCATCAAGGGCTTTGCCAAGTTTAGCTCTACTGCCCGTTACATGACATATAACTGAGCCCTGCACTCTTTGCACTCGCCGGCATGGTCCGCACCCGTGTGCTTGTGCTTGTTTTTCTGCCTTGGGGGTGCTACATCGGCTCGCTACGAGCCCCTGCTTGATGAAGATAAAAACCAGTTGAATCACAGTTGTCGAACCATCGGGTACTCATCATTAGATCATCCCAGGACGCGATCTTGAAGAAAGAATGGCATGAGGATGGGTAGGCGTGTCTGTTGAGAGAAAGCGCAATGCGTGGGACAAGGCGAATATTATCATGTCGATTGGGAGGAAGAGAAGATCGAATCGGGTTGAGATGATGGGGAAGCGAGGCTTGAGCAGCCAGGTCCTAAATAACAAGGCCATGTCACGCACGGCGTCTGGCGTCTATTACAAAGCGAGGGCGCTGGCGTTGCTCGCCACGGTCACTCGGCCGGGGTCGGGTAGTGCGGCTCTAATGCCGCTTCCAGATCTGGCCAGTAGTCTGGGTGCTCGCGCTGCCAAGCAATGGTGCTCCTCAGGCCATCACGCCATGACGTGCCGGGCGCCCACCCGAGCTGAAGCAAGTTTTCGTTGGCGACGAGGTACCGACGATCTTGAAAGCAACGGTCCTGCGTGCGGCGATTGCAGATTCGAGTCGAACCTGTCAGCAAGCGCAGCAACTAGGCAAGGCACAGCGAGTGGGGGTGCATGACCATCGCACCTCGACGTGGGTAATCAAGGATCGCGGCTTGCCGAGGAGATCACAAATGTCTTGCGCGACTTGTAGCACGGACAGCTCCGTGTCAGTGCCAATATTGTATGTTTGGCCTGGTAAGCCTGTTTTTTTCAAAAAAAAAGAACAAAAGGTAGTGAGCATGCATGAATAACCAAGCGCTCAGATGGGCACGCGCACACGTGCAGACCCGTACCTCGGTGGACGAGAATGTCAAATGCCCGAGCAACATCTTGAACAAAAACATAGCCGCGTTGCTGCGAGCCATCACCGTGCAAGGTCAAGCACTGGTCACGGAGGGCCTGGTAGATGAGCTTGGGCACCAGCTTTTCTGGGTGCTGATGAGGCCCATACACCTAAGATGAATGAAGGATGAGAGATCAGGGCCGGAGCCCATGGTGCGGCTGCTGGACATGAACTGAAGGGGTGGGGAGGGGAGAGGGCGGGCAGCATACATTATTGCCACGGGTGACAATGACTGGAAGGTCATACGACTTTTGATAGGCCTTGACCATCATCTCTGCGGCTGCCTTGCTGGCAGCATAAGGGTTGGTCGGGTTGAGTGGGGAGATTTTCTCCAAAAAGTGGCGGTCTTCGCCCGGCACTGTTTCGCCGTACACTTCGTCTGTGCTGACGTGGACAAAGAGCTGGACAATATCGCGGTGGCGCTAACAATGGCGACGCAGGTGAACCCGAAAGAGCGTCGCAAATGATGGATTTGAATTTGCAGCGGCAAGCTTGTGCAAGAATAGAGCGAAGGATGGGTTGGGACCTACCTTGGCAGCCTCGAGCATGACATGTGTTCCGAGCATGTTGTTGTGGGTGAAAGAGAAGCTGTTGGCGAAGGAGCGATCGACGTGGGTTTGGGCTGCAAAGTGCAAGATGGTATCACAGCGGTGCGTGCAGAGAAGATGCTCCACGGCTGCAAGATCGGTAATGTCACCGTGGACAAAGGTGAGCCGCGGATGCTCGGGTAGGTTGCGTCGATTGGCACAGTACATGAGGGCATCCACGACAACGAGCTCATAGGTTTCATAGGTGGTCAAAAAGTGCTTGGCCACGTGTGAGGCTATAAAGCCGGCGCCGCCCGTGATCAGCAGTCGCTGTGGTTGATGGGCCCGGCCCTGGGGCTCTCTTTGAGCCTCGCCCGCATCCATGGCAGCGTGCGTGGCTACGGCCGCGACTGGCCCACTGGCTTTGCGAGTGTGCTGATTTGGCTGTTGATGATGGTCAGCGGGGCTGCGGCCAATGGCGTGGCAGTGCCACGTTATCAATACCAAAATGGCAACCTGAACAAGTGGCCACTAGGAATCCAATGCCGCTGCCCTTTGCTATCGTGACCATCACACGTACCCTGCGCCAGTCAGTCTTTGACTCGCATGCACGATCAAGCTCACGCCACGCCAACGCCTCTGATGAAGGCCACCTCACTCAGTTCAGTGATGCCAACCGGACCCGCGAGCCACATTCAAAAGCACATCGGAGTGAAACAACGAATACCCGCGCCACCCTCGATGCAGCCACCACTGCCACCACTGCCACCACTGCCAAAAACCGCGCAGCTCCCTCTCTCTCTCTCTCTCTCTCTCTCTCTCTCTCTGAAATGCTTGACTGCAAAAACAGACGGCTGGGTGAAGATGTAAAATACTTTTCTCGCACACACACTCAAACTCTCAAACTCTCAAGCTCTTACACGCTTCACTCTTCTCTCTCTCAAGCTCTCTCTCTCTCTCTCTCAAGCTCTTTCTCTCTCTCTCAAGCTCTCAAGCTCTCTCTCAAGCTCTCTCTCTCTCTCAAGCTCTCTCTCTCTCAAGCTCTCTCTCTCTCAAGCTCTCTCTCTCTCAAGCTCTCTCTCTCTCAAGCTCTCTCTCTCTCAAGCTCTCTCTCTCTCAAGCTCTCTCTCTCTCTCTTCATTTTGTTGCTCTCTCACTCTCTCCCTCTTCATTTCATTTTTTTTTTTTTTTGCTTCTGGCGGCCGTGTCTCAACCGATATCATGGTACGTGTGAAGCTGGCTCGACTTGGCTGAGGCGCGTGTGGGGTGGGGTGATTGTGCGGGTTTCTCTGCGGATGACATGGCTGCTGCGTGACTCGTGATTTGCGATTGCTCACGGTGCTGTAGACGGACATTCATGTTTGCACCATCCCTGACGAGGTCAAGGCAGCGCTCCGAAAGTTTCGCTTTCGCAAGGCCAAGAACTGCGCCGCCATCATCAGTGCGTACATGACTGTCTTTGCTGCACCCGATTCATCTTCCCCGGCCTGCCACAAGCTCCTACTCACCAGCCCCCGCTGTCCATCCTCCAGTGAAAATCGACGTCAAGTCCATGGAGGTCGAGATTGAGGATGAGATGGAAGATTGCACCATCGCTGAAGTGGCCGAAGAGCTCCCCGAGTTCAACCCTCGCTTCGTCGCCTACAGGTGAGAAGAGCTGCTGTGCTCGACCATACGTCGTTCCTGACCATGGCCATCTTTCGGCGGGAAGCTCTGGTGAATTATGGTGCGCTCATCTGAGGATGACCCTTTGTGGTGTGGTTGTCATAACAGCTACTGCCATGATCATGGCGATGGACGCATCTCCTACCCGCTCTGCTTCATCTACTACTGCCCCAGTGGTAGGCATGGTTCATACTGCCCCGTGTCTTTGTGCTTGCACCTGCCTTCTCATTTTTGTTTCGTGATCCTAGGCGTCAAGCCTGAGACAAACATGATCTATGCTGGCTCGAAACCCTCGGTCCTTGCTGCCACTGATATTACCAAGGTCGGGCCGCCATTGCTTGTCACAAGATTCACCGAACCCATTGGCTCGCGCGCACCTGTCAGCCCTGATTTGCATTCTGCCCTGCTATCTGACAGGTCTTTGAGATGCGCGATGCCGAAGACATGACCGAGGAGTGGCTGAAGACCAAGCTTGGCTTTTTCGGCTAATCACCGAGCTCAATGCGATCATATCCGAGTCTTTGGTGTGAAGTGTGAAGGTGTGCAAATGAGTGGAATATGCGGCTGAGCTGGTCGAATAGTCAACCCTGCTCGGTTATGCCGTGACATTGTCGTAAAGAGTCAGTTGGAGAGGGGGCGGGGGCTGTTGTTCTTTTTTCTGGTTGTTGTTGTGATGGTGTGAACCTAAAACGTGCGCCCTCAGGCAGGTTGTGGACACTTGCATGTGCCTACATGCTGCCCCAGCGTTTGAACTGTAGATGCATTAGCTTGGCGTGATGCCGTGGCATTGACATGTAAATTCATTCGAAAAAACGACGCGCTAGGTTGATTTCCATCAAGAGAGGTAGCATGCTGGGAAAAAAAAAATGGTCAACACAGGCAGCAGCACCACCACCACCGGGTTTGTGAGTGACTGTCCCCGGCCCCGGGGAAGAAAAAATCAAGAGCATCGCTTTAGGCAAATGTTGACTTGTCGTCATCGGCCAGCAAGGCATACATCATGCTGCACCCAGACATTAAAAAAAGCAAATAGGGTGAGGCATAAGACGATTGCATATGGCCGCCGCGTGGTGCTGGTATGGCTGAGCCCAGCTGCCATTCGCAACAACACGTACCGATACAAAAAGTAGAAAAAGGTCAGCATGTAGAAAGCCAGCTTGACGGCGGATTCAACGTTGTTGTGACGCATTTCATCCCGGTTGAACATCTCGGTCATGTCGTAAATGCCCGGTTGAGACATCATGGGGCGGTTCAGGTAGCGCCAGACATGGTAACAGGTCAAAGGTGCCATCAGCAATGCACACATCCAGTTGCCCGTCAAGAGGAATAACAGCGTCAGAACACCCTGCGCAATGTACTCGGGCAGCACCAGCTACCAGTCCAGATTAAATCGGTGTGAGCAGGAAGCGCGTCTAACGCATCACGATGTGTCGAGTTGGGCTGACTCAACAAGAGGCTGGTCGGTCGGTCAAGTCGTACCGGGTTGAGGGAGTTGCACACGTCAATAGGGTTCTTGTGATCATGCGCCAGCTCATCAAAGGCCAGGAGCTAGATTTGACAATGCCACGCCACATGAGCGAGACGGGAGCTGGGCGAGGCGGGAGTCGAGCGAGTCGGTCCAAGCAAGCATTGCATGGTGCAAAAAAAAAAAAAAAAAGGGCGGGGGCGCCCGGCCAACTCCAACAAGCGCAAGCCTTGACCTACATTGTAAACCATGAGGAAAAGGAGAGCCACCACGACAACGACGGCAAAGATCCAGAGCAAGACGTCTGCGGTCATGATGCTGGTCTATCTGCAGGCATCCGTCGAGCCAGAAGTTGATAAGAACACGTCCAGTGGCCTGTTCGACCAGTCTCGGCACCCCAGCAATCACGTACCGTCCAAGCAACGGAAAAGAAGATGAAGAAGATGAAGAACCCCTCGAGAACTCAACACCCTCACTCCCCAGCGATTCGGATACAAGACGCCAAGCCCTAGAAGAAAGCACCACCCCGAGCGATGCCGTTCCGTCCACTGTCAACTGCAAAAAGCACACAAAGCGAGAGAGAGACAGATTGAAGCGAGAGACAGAGAGATTGAAGAGGGAGAGAGAGAGACAGAGAGATTGAAGAGAGAGAGAGAGAGAGACAGAGACAGAGAGAGAGACAGAGACAGAGACAGAGACAGAGACAGACAGAGACAGAGACAGACAGAGAGACAGAGAGACTGAGAGACTGAGACAGACTGAGACAGAGAGACTGAGACAGACTGAGACAGACAGAGAGAGGCAGAGAGAGAGCAGACACAAGAGATTATTGCAGAGGTTGATGTAGCGAATACAGTGAGAAGGATAATGATACGTTTGCTCCTTGTGACAAGAATGATCCGATTTATTTTTCTCTCTCTCTCTCTCTCCTCTCTCGTCGCCGACTGGGGATGGCCGAGGTAGATACGGCAGCACCGGCCGAGACGGTGGCAGTGGCGGTGGCGGTGGCGGACCAGAACCGGGAGGATGATGGACATGATAATGTAGATGGGTCGGCGCCAGAGGCGCAGCCCGATGCCTCGGAGGAGGCGACCCCGACCGACACTACGGCGGCGCCCGTTGATGAGGCTGAGCCCGACGCGCCCGCCACAGAGGATACAGGTGCTGAGCCCGAGACGAGCGCGGTCTCAGAGGCCGAGGTCAGCAAGCAGGAAGCTGAAAACATGGATGCGTCAGCAGACGTTGCGGCGTCTGAGGAACAGAGCACCTCCGCAGCCGTGGACACGGCACCTGAGGATGAGCTGGCGCCCGAGCGCAGCGAGGACAAGCCGGTGTCAGCAGACACGGCGCCCGAGGCTGACGCTGACGCTGATGCCAACGACGATGCGGCCGATCAGACTATGCAGGACGCACAAGCGGATCCCAGTGCTGAGGAGCCGGCCCCCGACGCCAGCAATAACCTTGACATGGAAACAAACGCTGGTATGCCCAAGCACGCGGCACGCCTACAGCCTTGCCCTTTTCTCCCGCCCCGCTCACTGTGCCCCTCATCTCGCTGCTACAGTGCTGGCCAACGTGTTCGGCTTTGATGACGACGATGACGACGAAGACGAAGAGTTTGAGGTGGGCTTGATGATCCTGCCACCGGCTCTTCGTGTCTCGCGCCAGGCCTGCCCCCTTCCACACCAGCAGAGCATCAATCGTTGTTCACCCCGAATCACCCGCTCTGCTTGATGCCACAGGGCTTTGAACAAAGCGAAATTTCGCAGCTCCTGCCCGAGCCCGAACCAGAAGAGGCGCCAAAGGAGAAAAGCAAGACGTACCGCCGCAACCCACGTAAGCACGCCAGCCGCCCGCTGCCAAGGACCAGTACCATAGCACCGGCCGCTGCCGTCGAATTTTGCCCTCTGATCGTTCCCTTGCATACCTTTTGTCGTGCGGGCGCCTGATAGGTTCAAAGCGAGCGGTGGACGAGGATGCCGAAGACGATGGTTCGTCATATGCCCGGACACACTTTGCACGTCTTTGCACGTGTACAACAGTCGACCGAGGATTCTTCTCACACCTGGGCCGTGTCTCGCAGGGCCCGTAGCTCCAATCACGGCTTCTGACGATTCCCCGTGGGCCAAGCTAAAGCGCCCCAAGCGCCGCGCTCAGGATGGTGATGATACCATGAAGGATGAGGTCGTCAAAACGGTCCTCACCCGCATGACCGTGGCCGCGGAAGAGGACATCAAAGCCGTCTACGCCCATCGCCCCGCCGTCTACAAGCTCCGCTATCTTGAATCGGTAGGGCCCACTTGCCCTCCGCCGGCACGACTTTTGATCTTGCTTATTCCCGCTCTTTCCCTGCCCACATGCGCCATGCTTGGTTGTTTGTCTGTTTGTTTGTTTGTTTGCTTTTTGTCCAGGCCAAATCATATATCCAGCACGCTTCGTACCGATTAACCTTTTTTGAGAACGCCGCCTACAAACAATATGCGCTGTGGCTCAAGCCCTTGCCTGACCGCTCCCTGCCCCCTGAGCCGGTTCGTGCTGGGTTATCCATGGCTCTTCATTCGCTAGAATACTGCGTCGCGCTTCAACTCGCCTCACTCTGTCGCTCCCTGCCCCGACCCGCGCGCAATGCCAGGTTCGCAACGCCATGTATAGTGCACTCGAGCACATGCCACCCTTTGACAAACAAGACAAGGAATCCTTTGAGGAATCCAAACTAGGCCGTTTGTGCAACTTTTTGCGCCAGCACCCCAAAGAGACGATTGAGAATAAGCAGCGTCTTACGCGTCTCATTGAAGCCTGGACCCGCCAGCTCACGGGTACACACAACAAGTTTGACCAGGTTTGTTTCTGCACCTGCCCCGTGGCGTACCCGCCCACCTCGCCAGTGTCCGGAGAATCCGTGGCTCATGCCTTGCGGCCTCTGACTGTTGCAGCTGCCGGAGGAAGAGAAGCGCGCGATCGTGTTGCATCAGGCTCGCATGGCACGGCGGGCATCGTCAGGAGGCAACAGCAAAGCATCAGAAGCCCCGGCAGTTGACACTTCTCGTCTACGCCCCGGCGAAAAGGGATTTATTGCCCGTGCCCGCATGCCGCAGCCTCAGACACGCACCTACATCAAGCGACCAGAACACAAGGTGGCGCGCCCCATTGATCCCAACGTCAAGGTATGACACGAGCTCTGACGCTACCTGGCCCGTTCTCCTGGTGCAGCACATCACATTCCTTGTTGGCCACGCTTTCAGGAAACGGTTTCTGCGACTGGATTTGACAAAATGGCCATGAGCTTCAAAAAGCTTCAGCAGTCTTCGCGCCGTGGTGGCACTGGCGCCTCGGTACGTTTGTACTCACCCCTGCAGCCTGCTGCCTCGGACCTTTTGACAACCTCTGCAATCAAGTTTGCATCATCTATCCATAAGCTTGATGATCCTGGTTGTGTCCTGGCTCATATTCCGCTTCCTGCCCAAAGGTCAACATTTCAGGATCCTTCTCTGGCTCGATGAAGTAGTCGCGCCGTTGTTTTCCGAGCCACTCCTCGAGATTCATATTCAATTCATGACAGAGCTCTAGCGCTTTCAACTTTGCCCACTGTTGCCTATTGCTTCAAGAAAAGGGCGACCCTCGCCCATGCGAATGGCTGTTTCGTACCACTAGTCCTCTTGTCGACCTGGCCTCTTGTCGTGACCCCGAACCCTTCCTCATCTCCTACCCCTCTTCCCACACGTCCCCGGCAAAAACAAAAATCTCTTTTTGTTCTCTCTTTTTTCTCTGTTCACTGTATTTTTTATTTTTTTTTACTTTTTCTGTCGTCTCTTTCAAATTCACACACACACACACACACACACACACACACACACACACACACACACACACACACGTTTGAACGACAACGTCGTTGACCTCGTTTCAACGGCAGCCATGGATCAGCCGGTGCGGGAGAGCCCGCCGGCGGATGGTCGACGGGAGGCCCAGCTGCGGGTGCGCCGGTTGATGAAGTCTATCAGGTGGGTATGGGTTGGATGGAGGGCCTGGTTGGGGTGCCGAGTTGAGGTCAGACTGATGATGGACATTGCTTGGTTGTTGGCGTAGCGATTCACAGCTTGAGACAGTGGCGGCAGCCAGTGCTAGCCAGGAGGCGGCTTCTTCAACAGCGACCGTTGGAGCGAGCGGCATGGCTTCAGAAGATGGGACAGAGCGTCCTTGGAACATGCAACAATTTCATCGCCGCGTTGACAGCTACAATCTCAACACCTGGTTCGCCAAGCCCATTCGCCTATCGCCACTCGAGTGTGCCCGCTTTGGCTGGATCAACACGGGCCCCGACACCTTGACGTGTGTCTCGTGCAAAGCTTCCTTTGTCGTCAAGTTTGATGCAAGCTTGGATGCCGACCAACGTAAGTGGGTCCTACCAGCTAGCTTCACGGCCTCCAGCAAGCGCTTTGCTCGCACCAAAAGGCGGGCTTCCAACTTCACGGTGTCGCGTGCGTGGGTCCGCAGGCTCTGCGCTCGCCGAGAGCTATTTTGAAAAGCTAAGCACCGAACACCTCGTCTCCTGCCCATGGAAGGGCAATGCCACGCCCCAATCCCTGGCCATGCCCGCTCTGGGCGTCGCTGCTGTCGAACGTGCCGCCTTCCTGGAACGGTGTGTCGCAGCTTCCGGGTGGAGGATGTTCATGCTTGCTCGCTGCGACTGGCGCCGGCGTAATTCGCTTCGGCTCACCATGTTTGCGCCTGCCTCTGATAGAGTGAATCTCATTGACCGCCGTTTGGGTCAGCTGCCCGAGTTGAAGGGTGCCCTCACGGTCCGCACCCAACTCAAACGGCTACAAACCCGCCTTGAACGTGAGCTCTTGCTAGCCGTGTCCTTCTCCTTTTAAGCGTGCAACCAAGATGCAAGCGCAGGCCATGGGTGACTCACTGCCCGCACACTCGTGTGTGTGTGCGTGCGCGCGCGTCTCGCTCCCACTGTGCATAGGCAATGCAAATGCGGCAGCCACCGTGCTGGCTCTGGCCCATTGGACCACATTGACGTCCCATGCCGACCAACACTACCTTTACTGCCAAACCTGCCACCGCCGTTGCAACATTCATAGCTATAGCGTCGTCGAAGCCACCAACGTCATTCCCCGCAGCGCCCCAGCCCGCCGTCTCAGTGGCACACACGCCCCTACCTCCGGTCAGCCATAGCGTGTGCCAACGCGCCCGCGCTAGAGATGGGTCGATCACGGCTGCATGCACTCATCCACCCCTCTCCCGACACGTCCCCCCCTTATCATGACAGAGACAAGTGAGGATGAGCGCACTGCCTCTGGCAGCGTATCTCTCGTTGAACCAAGCACCCCAACACCTACACGGGTGTCCTCCACCCAGCGCACGCCTGGCTCCGACGCGCATGTGGCCGTTCGTTGGGCATCCCCTGCCACCAGTGGCCCTAGCTCGCGACTGCACACCCCGACGCAGCGCACCCCTGGTGCGGTGACCGAGAGCCCCGAGGTGATCCGACGCGCACAAGCAGCGCAAGCCATTGACACATCAAAGCCGAGGTGGGCCCTTGCTTTCTCCTCTTTGTTGGTGCCTGGGTTGCTTCGAGACTCTCTTGTGCCGTTGCTGTGCGTCTTGTGGGTGAATGATGTGCGCCCAAATTCCGAGCCGGGGGAGGGGGGTGGGCAATTCTTCTCATAGCCCGTGTCTTGCCGTGAAATTTCGACCATCTATTTGCTGAAGATTCGGTGCTGCGGCAACGAGCCAGAGCCACCTGCTATTTGGCAAGCCCATTTATTACCAAGGTTTGATGTGCTACACTGCACCAGAGGGCTGGCCTTTTCTACCACGCAGGTGCAGACTTATTCGCCCGGCATATGTGCCCACCCCATGTACAGCGCCGGCCAGTGGCACTGCAGCTGGTAGCAGCAAAGGAGCAGTCTCCTCACCGGGCCTTGCAAACTCAACCTCAACCTCACAGGTACGCTTTGGGCCAGTAAGCGTTGGGTTTGACCTTGATCTTGCTTGTTCGACCGACCGACCGACCGACCGACCGACCGACCGAGCCGTGCTTACTTTAAGACCTCGCCCCTGGGCCCATTTTAATTTGATAGGCACCCCCAGCCAAGCGCGTCAAGACTGTCCAGGTACATGACTCTGCGAGACTTGCCTGTCGTGGCTTGAACGCTTTCGCTACACGCGTGGAAGTAAACCGATGCGATCCGACCTCACTGGTTCTGTCAATTCGTTTTGTTCTAGTTGGGCCCATTTGACCCGCTGCGAGAGCATCGAGCATATTGTCCTTTTAGCAATGCCGAGCGCGTTCACCGACTATTCAACCTTTTGCTCGCTGATGAAGGGGATCAACGCTCGGGAGCCAACGGCAAGCTGCAAGGTGAAAACCTTGTTGCCGCCGTTCGCAACCTCAAGCAAATGCTACATGCCAACTAGTCTGGCGTGCTGAACAGGCAGCCAGTAAGAAAAGGGACACCCATGAATCCATTCTCAGCCTGAAAGAATCAGTCCCTCTTCTTCCCTCCTGCGCTCTCTCACAACATTGCACCGTGTCCCCCTTGTCTTGCACAACCCCGACTCCTCTGCCTGTACCTGTTTCTGTGATTTCTGTGGTCTCTGTGTCTCTGTGTCTCGGTGTCTCGGTGTCTCGGTGTCTCTGTGTCTCTGTGTCCCTGTGTCTCCGTGTCTCTGTCCCTCTGTCCCTCTGTCCTTATGTCCCTGTGTCCCTGTGTCCCTGTGTCTCTGTGTGGCACTCTCTCCAAAACTCTCTCTTTCTCATACTCTTACATGTGTGTTCTCTCTCTCTCTGTCGCTCTCTCTCTCTCTCTCTCTCTCTCTCTCTCTCTCTCTCTCTCTCTCTCTCTCTCTCTCTCTCTCTCTCTCTCTCTCTCTCGACTGAGATTGGTACCGGCTGTTTGGGGTCCTTGGGGAGAGGGAGGGATCAAAGCGAAGCGAGAGAGAAGACGCGATGGCAGCGGAGGGGCAGCTGGTTTCGGGTCCCTGTTGCAGGGGGTGTGCCGTTTTTGCGCAATTATTCCAGGCCTGTTAAGGGCCTTGTTGAGGCGTTGGTCGCGGGCACGCTGCTCGGTCATCGCCATCATGGGTGCACGAGCTCGGCGCCGACGCTGGAATCGGCGTGCGCACTCTCCTTCTGCTAGCTCTGACGGCAGTGCCCATGAGCTCAGAGATTCGCGAGCCATGCGCAAGGCCTCCACCGTGTCCCGCAGCAGTGAGCAGCAGCTGCAGCTGGCGAGCGTCATCAACTCGCTCTGGCAGGATCTGATCGACTGCATCGATGTCATCACCGAGCACCCCGACCCTTGGCTCATGACTGGCCGGTAGGCTAGAGCTTTGCTTGCTCCTCGTCAACACTGCCGACCCCGTGCCTCAACCTTTTCCCCCCGCGCTTCGGGCCCTCCCTCACTGCTCCACTCGCATGCATGGCTCGCTCACCTCCTCACCATCCACTTGCCCCGCTAGCCTCTTTCTGGTTGGCTGTCATTCAGCACGCCACCTTCCCGCCGTTCCACGGCTGGCGATGGTGACGGCCAACGTGGATGACCCCTTGGATCAGGCCACCATCGAAGGCTACAACCGCGTCTTTCCCGCATGCTTCAAGGTCGAACTAAACCCTGATGAAGGCCACTACGTACAAATCAACGAGACAGTGCTCCAAGGTCGGCTGTGAGCGCGCAATCTACCGCATTGCACTGGCAACCATGGGTCGTATTTGCTGGCACATGACTTGACGCTGCATGGCCCCTCGACAACAGGCTTGCTGGGCCCGATCATGTTGCAGCTTTTCTTGTTTGCAAATCTCCTTGGGCTCGTATACCTGCCCTTTGTGATTCTGGCCACGGTGGTCGTTCTGGCTCTGGAATACGAGCAGGAATGTACGGTTGGCGAGCTCCGCATCACCACTGTTCTCATCATCAAGGTGGGCTTGATATTCGTGGCTTGCGCCCGGTGCCTCCAGCGATGTGAAATGTGGGCTCGTGCTCAGCACCAACTGATTCTTCCCGCAGGCCGTCCTCAGCTTTGCTATGCTTCTAAACCGTATCGTGATCTATCTGGAAACATTGCGCTGGAAACAGCGCATTTCTACCTCTCGCCGGCAGATTGTTCAAAACAATAAAGCTGGTGCGCCTCCCCAGCCCCTGCCATCCCCTTTGACTGCGAACGCGATGCACTGGGCCGACGCACAACTTGCCATCACATTTGTTATACCTCACTCGATGTGGCTCTTGCAGAACAAGAAGCGTTTCACCGCGCCCGCTCGCTCCTGCCTGCACACCTGCGCCACTTGTCTCAGGATTGGGATGAGCCGTTGCCCTCCGCCTCAACCACCAACCCAAACCACGATCAAACCAGCCGAACTATGCGGGGTCGTCTCGACGGGGCTTGGCTTCATGTACGCGTGTCCTTCCTTCGTGTGCAAACTGGCCCTTGCCCGCTGGCCACTGCGCCCATGCTCAATGTGACCGTGCGGTCGTCGTTCTTCTTGTTTTCCTTGCCTGCGGCTCTCAACCCTTCCAGCGTCTCATGACGACTCGACGCAAGATGGACATTATCCTATACACGTCATTGCGTGCCTTATACTATTACGATCAATTGGAGGCTTCCCCCTCGGCATTTGTTCTCAAAGTTCGACCTTGGCGTGCATACCACACATGACGCCGGCCCCTCCGCCCCCGTGGTCTCACATGAGCATGTTGGCGGCCGTTCGTACGAATCAATTTTGTAGTTTTTGGCCCCGGTCAACCTGGCATGGGACATTGTTGTGATCTCCGTACTCTTCCAGCTTCGCTCCTTTCCCTGCGAAAGTGACAATATCTACGGTCTGCTGTGGTAGGCCCAAACGTGCTGTTTGCCCATTGCTCAAAGCCACCACACTCTTTGCGTGCCTTGGGCGCGAGTATGACTCGAGCGTCTGGTCAATTATTGCCTTGTGCACTCCTAACCGGCTAGGGCGCTGGCCATTGTGGCATTAATGACCTTTCCACAAAAGGGACTTACGCTTGTATACTGGCTCATTCAACTTGCGTTTCGCCCCGATACCGTGCAACGGGGTTTGAAGAACCGCTTGACCAAGGTCAGGCCATGCGACCGACACTCAAGGCTTGCATGGCGCGGTCGGCCTCTCACGCTGCTTTGCACGACCCGCATGACTTGCAGATTGACGAACGTGATTACAGCAACCTACCCATCACCCGATACGCTTTTGATGCTTATTTTGATAAGGGGCGTCCTCAGCGAACGCAAGAGGCCGTGCAGAGCCTTGAACGGCAACTTCGTGGTACGCTCTCCTGCCCATGCCGTGGTGTGGGATGACTAGAAGCTCCTCCTGCTCTACAAAACCTCTCGATAAAAACACAAGGGGTCAATCGGCACTAATTCATACTGGGCTCGCGTCCTCGTGTTTTCAGATGAAGCCAAGGAAAACTCGGTCAAGCATTATTTGTATCTACAGGAGATGTTGGATCGTGCTCTGTTTCAGGCTGCGGAAGCTGATCTCGATTCCGAGTTACTGGAAATGGATGATGATGCCGAACTCGATCAGGAACTGGAGGAGATTGTGACCGGGCGCGATACCCTCCCACGTGCGGCGCGCAATGGGCCACGTTCGACGCAGCTCCGTCGCCGCCTCACCGCCGAAGCCCGGCGCAAGCCCAATGCTGTGCGTCGCTTTCATGCCGGCAGTCTGCAAAAGACGGTGACCTTTAGTCGCTCCGTGAGCGAGGCTGTGGAGGCTCGCAGTCCTCCATTGGAACCCAACGCTCGCGTCACAGCCCAAGCCTCGGCGCCATCCTCGCGGACGCATGACCGGATGTTTGAGCTCATTGGCATTTCACAGCATCTCCTGATGTATTTTCGCTCGGAGTTTAACGACTGTACGTCACAACACCGTTTTGTCGCATGCTTGTTTTGCTGTGGTCGATGCATCTGCCGCCCTGAACCCCCTCTCGCTGACCGTTCACCGTTCATGCCTTGCCGGGTCGGTGTCAATAGTCATTCATGAGATTAACGAGCTAACCGAGCAGCATCACATGATCCAGGCGCTGGAGCGTGTGCCTCGAGCACTGGCAATCACACGAGATTACATCACGCAACTGGAACTTCAGCGCTCGCTGATTGCAGGCCAGATCCAAGCCTTTCAACTAAATCACTTTACTCCCGCAGAGATCGCACTCTTTCAGCATCGCGACGAAGTGTACGAAACGGAGCTGGAGGAAGCCCTATCTGTGCGCCAGGAGCTCTTGGTCCTGGATTCCAAGCCCAAGGCGAACAAGGGAAGCGTGGCCTCGCCATCTGAGCAGGGAGACACGCCCATCCCTGTGTCGCCGCACCCAGGCTCGGCTTTGCGGCCGCCATCTACGCTCATGCGCCCCGATTCTTATGACTCCGTTTTTGAGCCTGACTCTGTGGCTGAGGCGAGCACACAAACCCCCTCACCTGAACGACGCCCGGCGAGCTTTGTGATGCCAGCCAAGCCTGATCCAGCTAAACCGCAGCATCGACCCGTGAGTGCGCGACCCATGCTCTGCCGTCGGCATCTCAGCGCAGCGCGCCAGGTCTCTGAAGAGCAGGCCCGGGCCCTTGAGGCCCACGAGACGCGAGATCGCTGGCGGGCATCTCGCCTGCACCGCGAGAGCCATGCCCTGTACGATGATGACGAAGGGGACCGGGTCACGACAGTACCACGCACCGTCCGAGGCAATGACTTTGTCCTTGACCTTGCATCCCTGGACACACTCGACGATTCTGAACCAAATTCTGGGCGTGCGGCCTACGTTTAGCCCTGGGCAGTGGGCCTGCGGCCCGCTCAACCCCACCATTTGGGGGTGTTGAGAGAAAGACAAATTCAAGGCTGGGCCTCTTCCTATCCATGTCTCTGTTCTTCGCGCAGTGGTCAAAGGAGAGGTAAAAAGCGCCACGATTAGACATAAGCAATGCAGCTAAGTTGACTTCTTCTCCACCACCCACCACCTCGATGATAGGGAATCTCAAGGATTGACACGCAGCCGCACCAGTTGCATCAAGCCAGATACAGCTACAAATACAAACAGATCGATGCCCATAATATCATTTCAAGAAAAAAAGATTGTAAAGTCGAAAAAAAAATTAAATTTTCGATATTTTTTGGGGGTTTTTCTTACATTTGAACACGTCGCGCCTCTGCGCCGCCGTCGCCGTCGTCGCCGATGCAGTCTTGTGGATCGGCCTGACCTTGTCACCTTCTCTGCCTCCCTCCAAAACCTTGTAACCCAAGCCTTGGCTGGTGGAGGACATTGTCGAGCCAGCGAGCTGAGTATCAGGATCCCAGGGGTTCCTTTGCGAGCGACTGACGAGTGGTCGTTACTGGGTGAGGCAGTGATGATGATGATGAAACGCGGATGAGGAAGCGCTTGGTGTCCCCTTGGCACGACAACGCTTTGCATTGCAGATCGGAGCATTGCTGTCCGATTTCTGGGCCCTGCACCCAACCGGAGGTAGCGTGGCAAACCTCTGGTTGCCACCGCTGCTCGCCCTGTCATAATGTCGTGGCTATCCAACTCCATGACCGGCTTGGTCGGGCAAGTGCGCTCGCTTACCGAGGACATTCTCACCGATGAGAGCACCGATGGCTATGGTGCGTGCAAACTGCCCACGCTGGCATATGGCCCTCGTTGGCCACTCTTACTTGACTCTGTTTCGCGCCCCTCGCCCCGCACTTACTCACATCTCTGCTGCTGCTTGATCCCCCAGTTGACCCTGAAACACTCCAGTCGCAACTGCAGGACACTCAACGGCAGCTCGTCGAGTTGTATGATACGGCCATGCGCCTGCAAGAGGAGGTGCGACTCTGCTGTTCCATCACAAAGTGGCCTGCGCAGTCTTTCGACCCTCTCACGTGCCCCTCTCGCCATTCCTTGCCCCTTCTCGTGAGCCCAGCGTGATCGCCTCATTGAAGGTCGCGACACGGCCGAGCGACGGGCTGACGATGCCGAATCGCAAATTCACACGTGCGTTGTTGTTTTTTGCTTTTTGCTTTTTGATTTTATTTTTACCTCCTTCCTTTTCTCGATTCGCAACAATCGTGTCTACCCTTACGATCGTGAGCTGCCCCTTGGGTCACAAACCCGTGCTCCTCGCCTACAGCATGTCCGAGCAATACCGGCATCTGATTGAGGAGAAGCAAGCCGAAATCGACACATACAAAACGGTTGCAGAGCAGATGCGTCAGGAGCATGCCTCAACAGCTCTCGCCGATCTGGCTCAACACAGTCAATGTCCGTCTTGAACTGCCGATTCCATGTGCTTGTCCGGTTTGGACTTGCTTGATTTTCATGCACCGCCGTCACAACGGCTCTGCGATGCTTTTCAAAGCAACTTGTAACGAATTGGCCCTCATGCACGGCTCTGGTGGACCTACTGCCTGCTTCACCCCCGCTAGTGCCCAATCATTTAAAAAATGCTGACTCTACACCCAGTTCCATGGAACCTGGCCTGGACGAAGCACGCACAAACGGCCACGTCGCTCTTCATACAGGTTGGAGCTGCCTGGAGGCTTCAAGACTGTCTCACTACAATGATGCTTTTGAATTGGATCTGCCGACGCTTCCCGTGGGCATGTTTCATTGAACAAAACGATCAATCACAAACTAACATCGCCCCCCTGCCTCTCTCTCCTTCTCTCCTTCTCTTCTTTTTCTTCTTCTTCTTTTTCTTCTTCTCCCCCACCCCTTCTACCCTTGTGTCTAGACAAAGTCGACGAAGACATCAGGGAGTGGCGCACACGGGTTGAAGATCTTGAGGAGCAGCTGCGCTTAGTTGGTGATCAGCACCAAGAGGATATGGTGCAATTGCAGCAGCAGCATGCCAGCCAGTTGGCACAGATGAAGTCTCGCCTACAGGAATTCGAAACCAATTCTGCGGTCCGTGTCATGGTCTGCCCTGGCCCTGCTTTGCCACCGCCAACTCCCACCCAATGCTCCGCCAGCGCCTGTCGTGCTGATCACTTTTTACCTTGATGTGTTTACTTATTTATCTCCTATATTCAATCAGAAACAAAGCCCATCGGTGAGCAATCGAGATGGGGATCGAGCAACGCAAGACGTGCATTCTGATCAAGTCGATGCCTTGCGGTTGGAGCTCGAAGCTGAACGAGAACGCGGTCAGCGGCTAGACCAGCAGTTGACGCTGATGAAAGGGGCCAATCATAAGCTGCGTGAGCAGATTGCCGAGGTTGAGGATGAACTTGCAACGGCACTTGAGGCTGGTGCTGCCAACACCAAAACGAAGGATAGTGACCACGCGCACGCCGAGCTTCAAGCCACAGTCGATGCTCTGCATATGGAGCTGCAAGCTTCGCAACAGAAGATCTCACAGCTCTCCGCAACGCTGAAGCAAGACACCCTTCGCCATCAAAGCACTGAGCGTGAGCTCCGAGCGCGCTTGCAGGAGCTCGAGCTGAACGGGTCTGACAGCCAAACGCAAGCAGGCTCCACTGATGCCGATGTCACGCAACAGCTTCAGACTCGCCTCGCAGACGCGGAACAACAGCTGGCGGAAATGGATGAGCAGCTGGCCGTGGTGGAGGAGCGACTGGAAGATCGTGAACAGGCGTGCCAAGAAGCTGAAAAGCGCGCCGCTGCTGCTGAAGATCGTTTGCAGCTACAAGATGCGCAGGCTGCAGAGCGCGCTGTACGCGCCGAAGCGGAAGTGGAAGCCTGTCGTCTTCGTGAAGCGAGTGCTCAGGAGCGAATTGCGGCGCTCGAGCACGAACTGAGGGAGCTGGAGGCGCAGCATCAGGATTTGACCGAGACTCATGCCACACATGTCACCCGTCTTGAAGCAGAATTAGCAGACGCCCGTGTCGCCACCCCTGCTGTCGAGCATGGTGTGGCAGCTGAGCTCCACGCCGAAATTGTGGCTGCCCTGGAAGGACAGCTTGAGGTAACGTTTGCGTTGTTTAGTCCCCTTGCTGTTCCTTGCTCCATCAAAAATGAAGTTGTAGTGCCTCATAGTGCCTTGCCCTTTGTAGGCGGAGCGGGCAGCTGCTGCGGCTCTGGCGCAAAAACATCAGGCCGCTTTGGAACAGATTGCTGCATTACAGGAACGGGCGGATCACACTCTTCCTTCCAATGATGTAGGCACAGCATGTGACTTTGCAAGTGAACATTCTGGTGACCATCGCTGAGCCTCATCCTGCTGCTGTACCACTCTTGCCAGGAACAAAGTGCTGAGCTGGAGCAAATGGCCTTACGCTGTGAAGGAACCCAGCAGGAGTTGCAGCAAGCTCTGAGTGACATTGACGACCTTCAGCGGGGCCAACAATTGCTGGCGCGCGAGCGCAACGCGTTGTTGACGCAGATTGAGGAGCTGCAGGCTGAATCAAAAAAGATGCCATCAGCCACTACTTTGACACAATCAGAGCCAGAAGGCCTGGTGCCAAAACTCACAATCGCCACCCAAACCGACGAAGCTCCCATGCCCACCGTGGAGCAAGCACCCGCACAGGTGCAAGAGGCACCCGCGCATGCGGAGGAAATATCCGTGGAAACGTCTGTTGTTGAGGCACTTCGAGAAGAGTTGCAACGCACAGAGGCCGTGTTGACCGCACGAGAAGAGGAGATTGCCTCGCTCAAGAGCGCCGTTGAGAAGGCTGAGCAACAGCGCGCGCGTCTTCAACAACACCTGCTGCAGATTGAAGAGCAACGCACACAGCAGCAGCTTGAACTGCTGCGCCACGACGAGCAAGGTGCCTCCGAAGCTCGGCAAGAAGTAGAGCGCCTTCAGAAGGAAATGACAACATTGCACGCTCGAGCCGAGACCTATCGCTCACGTGTTGCTTCCTTGGAAAAGAAGCTCTCCTCCACGGTTTCGGAGAATGAAGAGGCCCGTGCTCAAGTTCGGCTCCAGGCTGACGAACTTGAGCAAGTGCGTCAAGAGATGAATAACCTCCAGATGGTGCTCGAATCCTTCGAGAGTGAGAAGGCCTTGGAGATTGAGGGCGTGCACCATCGACTGCGCGATGAGCTTGATGCTTTGAAAACGCGCGCCGCGCGTGCTGAGCAGGCGCTTGCGGCGGCTGAGCAGGCCCGCGATGCGGCTCAGGAACAGCTGGCAGCGCAACGAACGCAACTGGCCAATGCGCAATACGATCAGGCGATGCAGGCGACACTTGAGCATGACCGTGAACGCCTGCAAAAGCAAGTTGATGATACCAAAGCACGACTTGAACGCGTCATCGCGCGGGCCGATGAGCACCTGATGGATTTGACCTTGCTGAAAAACACCATTGGCCAGTACTTCAGCTCCTCGGAGGGGCCACAACGCGAGCAGGTCCAGGATTTGCTGGCAGACTTGTGTGATCTTCCTGCACTAACGTCTCGCTCTGCACGCGCAGCTTCCCGGCGCTCGCAGGGCCTATTCGGAGGCTGGTTTGGTGGGTCTAACCAAGGCAAGGGTGCAACTGAGCGAGATTCCACAGCTCCGCGCCCTGCTCCAACAGGTGCAGTCGCCGAGGACGGCAGTGCCAGCTTTTCCAGTGTTTTTGTGAGCTTTCTCATGAGTCATAGCCAACGTGATGGTGCACAACCCGAGACTGAGGCGTCTACTACTGGACCCTCAGCTGATCAGCCCGGGAGCACTTCGCAAGCCTCCGCTAATGCCTCAACGCCGAGTACTCGGCCGAACTTTCCCGCACATACCAATACAGCAGCAGTCAACGTCCAGTCCTTGCGCTCTGGCGACCCCATCATGGCTCATGCGCGCGAGGTACCTGTGGTACCGGGTCGTAAATTGCCCCGTGACACAGACCATGCACCCATCATGATAGAAGGACTTTCCATGTCTTCGGGCATTTCACCACTCGAGACGCTCCTGAACCAAAGCCATTCGGCGCCCTCACGACGCTGACGATCGCCTTTCATTTGTCAACACCGGCAGTGAAAAAGCGTATTTGGAAGCACCCTGTCTCGGTTTTCATATCGGATGTTGGTTTAGTCTTGGTTTCTCGTTGTGGATCTCGCGCTTCAAGTCTCTCCCTCTCTATCGCTCTCTCTCTCCTTCCCCCTTTCTCCTCCTCGAGTTCAAGTCCTAGTTAGTGCTGTGCACTCTGCTGTGGCGTCGCTCGCTATTGCGTCGCCTAGCCGCCTCTGTGGCCTGGGACAGTCACGATAATAATGTGTCATAAACTACGATCCAATTGTCTTCTCTGGAA